TTTTTGGGGCCGTGATTCTAATACGTTCTAATCTTCTCTTACTTAAGGAAATACAATGTTGCTTTCCAACTATACGCTACATGTCACTCCCATTCTTGGACAGATGGTGAATTTACAATGTAACAAAAAGGATGACAGATGTTAAATCCTTTAAGATACTGAAGTATATCAATATATAATCCATTAAACTCATTTTTTACCAAAATGTGTAAAATAGAAAATATATATATAAAAATAAAAAAATAATAAATAATAAAAAAAAAATAAAATAAAAAAAAATATATACAAAATAGAAAAAATAAAAAAAAATATAGAAAAAATAAAATGTATAATACCAGAAAACATATTAAAGACAGAAAGAATATGGAATATATTAAAAATATTCCCATATATACTAAATAGTACTAAATATCACTAATAAAACATGCTAAATCGAATTCTTTATTCAGACCACCTGGGGCCAAACTCCCCAACTCATAAATCCATAGAGATTCCTTCTTACTAATTTCCCTAATCAAATGAGTTTAATTAATGGACATTTTGATTTCACATGATTTTCTGTTTTTCACAAGTTTATTAATATTAATTTTTTGATATATTTATTGGAAATATGTATTGATTTAATATTCAAAGAAGGAGCGCAACATATTGTTTTTATGTTTTTGAATTATTTACACATTTAAAGAGGATGTGTTGTATGTTTGCAATCCTGTAATAGCAGTGAATGGCTCGCAAGTTTCATCTTTGTTTTCATTCATAACACTGCCCCAAACCACCTCACCCACCTGATACCCAAATACCACCCAACCCGTATTCTTCGCTCCTCACAGGACCTCCTACTTTCTAGCTCCCTGGTCTCCTCCTCCCACGCCTGACTGAAGGATTTCTCCAGGACTTCCCCCATCCTCTGGAACTCACTACCCCAATCCATCAGACTGTCACCCTCCTCACCTATAGGCGCACCCTGAAAACCCATCTCTTCAGGGAAGCCTACCCCACCCTCACCTAACAGCCCGATCTCCTCCACTTCTCCTACCACTCCATCCCCCACAGCCACTTCCTCCTGTACCACTATCCCCTCCCTCCTAGATTGTAAGCTCAAAAGAGCAGGTCCCTCGAACCTCTTGTATATTGTGTTGTTACTGTATTGTCTCATGTACTGTCCCCCACTATATTGTACAGCGCTGAGCAAACTTTTTGGTGCTATATAAACACTGTATAATAATATATAATAATAATATAAAAAAAAAAATAAAAATGTAAAACAAATGTTTGAAAAATTATAATTTTTGGTTATAAACTAATTTGGGTTATTATTTTTACTAAAAAGATAGCTGACTACATTTTGGACAAGATTTGTGAAGAAAGATTATTTATTTGCAAAATGTTATAAGAAAAACACTTAATTTCAAAATTTTTGGCCATTTTCATTTATATAGCAAAAAAAAAAAAATCTCAGTGGTGAATAAATACCACCAAAATAAAGTTTTATCTGTCTCAAAAAAATGCTAAAAATTTCATATGGGTACAGTGTTGCATGACCGCACAATTGTCATTCAAAGTGCAACAGCGCTGAAAGCTGAAAATTGGCCTAGGAAAGAAGGGGGTAGAAGTGCCCAGTATGCATGTGAATTTTAAAGGATAAGTTCTCCTTTGTAAAATTGAAATAGTAAATGCACATCTTTTTGCAAGTAAAAAAATGTGCATTTATTATTTTTCTTACTAGGAGCCTGCAAAGCATTGCACCTGCGAGCAATAGATCTGCTGCAGACTGTGAGTGTAACTGTCTGCTCATACCTTGTAGAGACAGGCAGTTGCACAATGACAGGAGGAAACAATGCGCTACCTTGAGCGTTCAACAGCAACCTGGTAGTTCATTTTGAACTACAAGCCGACACCTGCAAAGGCGGTACCTGTAGTTCTCCCATTCACAGAACTCTGAGAATAAATGACGTGGATGGCCATGGGATTTTTAAAAATTGTGAAAGTGGCCACAGGGTGAAGATCCTGGCTTGCTGTCACTAGAGGAAGGTCAGGGATAGGCTGCAGCAGTGGGAACATGTTGCATGTTCTACCCTAAAATGGGTGGGACATCTAAATTGTTCCCAAAGGTGAACTTATCCTTTATGCTAAAAATGAGGGCTTAATACAACTTTAGGTAGGAATGTGTTTGGAGTTAGTGTGAATGTGCACACATCTCATGTAACAAAGGTTATGTAATTGTCCGTGTCAGAAGAGAGTAAATAAATAAAAAGTAGATATTGTTTATGATAAATAGGCTTTTGTTCTTTCTTTTTCAAAAGTTATATAATTGAACCCTGTGAGGTTTATTTACTAAAGCTGGAGAGTGCAAAATCAGGCTCACGTTTGCACATATCAATCAGCTTCTAACTTCAGCTTGTTCAATTAAGCTTTGGCAAAAAAAAAACCTGGAAGATGATGGGTTTCTGTGCAGAAGTGAGCCTGATTTTGCACTCTCCAGCTTTTAATACATGAACCCCTGTATGCTTTGTATTTGTCCTACAAGTGTGTAAGCCTTGACTGTTCAAAAACTCAAATTGTTTTGCTGAAAGATAGTGATTCTGAATTCCACAACAGACTCAATCAAAATATCAATGCTACCAAAAATGTATTCCTATTTTTCTTTTCTCTTCAGAAGATCAAATGTTATAACCTAAAATATTTAGCAATTCTACAAGAGTCACCCTTCATATCTATTTGCATTTCTTTTGAAAAATACCAAATTCCACAATACCTAATATTTTTGTCACGCAATCAAGAAATGATGCAAACAAATGCTTATGAAGCTGAGATACTCAATGATTAGAAGAGATAGTCCTTATGGAAAATGTTCAAGAAGAAACCATTCACGTTGTACTGATGAAAAGATGGTCTAATTGACCTCTAGAATTTTAGTCCTCTATTCTGAGAAAATAGCCACTTTACAAAGCGCAAAAACAGATGGACTGGGAACATGCTGTGAATATTCTAATAAGATGCTCAGAGATGTCAGTACAGGTAATATATCAGCCTGGGTAATGCATGGCAAGGGCATGAAACAATGTAATCATTAGAGCAATTAAGAGACACTTATCAGGATTCACTCTGCGGTTCTTACAGCTTAAAGTCATATACCAGTAGCAGCATAATCTATACTATTATGTTACAACTGCAGTTACTGAAATCCTCTGAACATTTTAGGTAATATTTTGCATATTTTGTTCAAAATGGCTAAATTATTATATACACCTTATTTTATACTAGTGGTGAACACAGAATTAAAGAATATATCCAGGCATGGCTGTATTATACATAGTTGCATTGGTCCCATTTTGACCAATGTAACTATGCGTATACCATGCTTATAAGCTGGAAACCATTGAAGTATAAACTGCTACTCCACTACTTCAGTGATATCCACTTGCTCCTGGATCCCCAGCCAAGCTGCTACACTCCTGCTTACTCTACACAGGTGGTCATCTGCTTGGCTCATGTTCCATTCAGAGAGTGCTTTGCATTTTCTGAACTAATGAAAAACATTCTCTGACTGGATGAGGCAGAGAGGTGGGGCAGGGACATCACACTCTCCACCTCATCCAGTCATAGTGGTGAAAAGGTGAATGCAAGCTGGAGCAATGTAACTACTGTGACAGTGAAGGGTCCTGCCACTACGTAAAAAGAAGTAAATGGCACACAAAGTTCTTAAGGATGAAGATTGAAAGGCTCCAGATTGGATATTATGAGCAGAAAAATTTGGGTTTTGTTTTCCTCTGGGTCTTAGAATTCCCAGATTGTGTTCTGAACTCCAAATGTTTCAAAGGGCTTTGGGAGAGAAAAAGCCAGGTTTTACTGGAGACCAGCTGGCTGTGTTTGCAAGAGTGCACACCCTTTATAGTCAATGACTTGACTGTAGTTCGGGGATGCCTGTCCAGGAGACAAATGACTTTGTGTGCATGTCCAGGTCTGTCCTGTGTGGAAGATACAGTAAGTGCTTTGTTCGGTCTTACATCTATTGAAGACACTGCACTGTGAAACTTTGCTGCTACAAGGGAGCAGTGTGTGTAAACAAGACACTAGCAGGGTGTCTATTGTAGCTTTAATGACGGCATTCTAAGGAGACTGTGGCATGAAAGAGCAAGAGCAAGGCGGCAGAATAATTTTTTTTTTTTGGATTGATGTGGTGCTGAAAACCCCTTCAAGGGGAACCCAGTAGTTTGTTTTGAACGTTTACTGAAAATGTACTTGCCGGCTGTAGTGGACTTACAAGCACTACACTTGAGTGAAACACCCATGCACATCACACTAAGTATAATATAGTCATACCTGGAATTCTTATATAAATAGAAAGCCCTTGCTAAATAGGCTCCAAACACTCCCTAACCCTAAACCAGCCTTAGTTTTGATTACTAGCAAGCTAAAGTTGTCCAAGCGGTTTACCTTCCATCAGTGGGTCCAACTGATGGTGCTCAATACTGTGATCGTTGCCTTTGCTATTATTATCTTGACTAGTATCAGGTCTTACAAAGCAGTTGAAGTGTTTCCCATTTTAACCTACAGTCAAAATTCAATAGATAAGAAAGAGTACTACACACCTGGCTGCACTTTAGCACAAAGGCAGCCTCCAAAATTTAGATTACATATTTTGTTAAGCTTAGCTTTAACCACCTCCCGCCCGCTCTATAGTACAATGACGGACGCAAGGTGGTTCTCTCGTTCTGATAGGACGTCATATGATGTCCTACCATTCTCACTGCGCATGTGCGACTCAGGGAGCGCGCAGCGCGGCGTTCGCCGGTGTGCTGTGTCCCTCGGACACAGCGGATCACGGAAAGAGCCGAAGATGTCGGCTCGGTCATGTGATCAGCTGTGTCCAATCACAGCTGATCACATGTAAACACGGAAATGCCGGTTATCGGCATTTCTCTCCTCTCGAGCTGTCACGCTGACAGCTCGAGAGGAGAGGAGAGCCGGTAATCGGCTTTCCACGGAGGGGACATGTACACTGATAATCAGGGCACTGATGATCAGTGTGGCCCCAGAAGTGCCACTTGTCAGTGCTCATCTGTGCCACGTGCCAGTGCCCATCAGTGCCACATCAATGCCACATATCAGTGCATACCAGTGCACATCAATGCCACATATCAGTGCCCATCTGAGCTGCCTTTCAATGTCACCCATCAGTGCCAGTCAGTGCCACCTATCAGTGCTGCCAATCAGTGCCACCTATCAGTGCCAGTCAGTATCGCCTATCAGTGCGCATCAGTGCCAGTCAGTGCCGCCTATCAGTGCCAGTCAGTGCTGCCTATCAGTGCCAGTCAGTGCCGCCTAACAGTGCCAGTCAGTGCCGCCTATCAGTGCCAGTCAGTGCTGCCTATCAGTGCCGCCTATTAATGCCATATATCAGTGTCATGTATCAGTGTCATGTATCAGTGCTGCCTTTCAGTGCCCATCAGTGATGCCTGTCAATGCCCATCAGTGCGACCTACCAGTGCCTCTTCATCAGTGCCCATCAGTGCCACCTATCAGTGTCCATCAGTGCAGCCTATCAGTGCCCATCACTGCAGCCTCATCAGTGAACGAGAAAAATAACTTATTTACAAAATTGTATAACAAAAACTAAGAAAAACTTTTTTTTTTTTCAAAATTTTCAGTGGTTTTTGGTTTGTTTAAGAAAAAATAAAAATCCCAGAGGTGATTAAATACCACCAAAAGAAAGCTGTATCTGTCTCAAAAAAATGCTAAAAATTTCATATGGGTACAGTGTTGCATGACCGTGCAACACCGTGAGAGCGCTGAACTGGAAATTGGCCTGGGCAGGAAGGGGGTATAAGTGCCATGTAGGCTAGTGGTTAATGAAGGAAATATTTGCCCATGCATTATTTACCTAGCAGAAAGTATCTTTTTGTTCCAAAAGATGGTCTTAAAATTATTAAACAGATATATACTATGTATGTATATATGTTTATATAGTAGTGGCCAGGGGCGGAGTGACCATTCGAGCACTCGGGCACTGCCTGAGGGCTCAGGGTCAGTAGGGGGCCCCATGATATGCCCCTGGTACCTTTCATTGGCTTTTTCATAGGCTTTTTTGGGTGTGGGCGAGGACACAGGGGCCCCATGATCCCCTATTGCCCGGGGGACCCTGGAGATGTCAGTCCACCCCCGGTAGTGGCAGAACTATTGCTAATAATGAGTGAATCTGTTTGATAACCAGGAAATTGCTATTTTATTTTATTCTCCTGAATGTATACAAATAGGTTTGCCTGTAAATGTACTCATGAATCCTGATTACCTCAAAGGTTGCAGACTAGACAGATCTACTGGAAACATTCAGGCAAATGAACAGTATTTTTTACGTTTGCAAATGTAGTTTAAATAATGCCTGGTAATCGAGAAATGAAGATTATTGTTCAGGCACTTCCTGTTATAAGATGACAACACTCTGTTCTGTCAAAAATTCTCCTGATGAAGACTGCAAATACATTTTTGAAAAGACTGCTGCCACCACCAGAATGCCTGCTCTGAGAAATGCCATGTAACCATGACTGGAGTCCTCTTATGGGATCCTTTAAATAAGCAGCAAATTGAATGGGTCTTCTAAAAATGCAGTGCGCCACGTTACCATAACTCAGGTTGGTATATATATTATATTGTGAAGAGCCATAGGACAGTGGGAGCCCATAGCTGTGGACCTCAGCAAGGACAAATTCATAAACATTCACAGCATATTTACATATAATATATCATATTTAATCTGCCTTGACCAACTGCTCACAGCACATGATTTACAGCTATGCCCAGTGGCTCACAGGACCAGAGAGTTTCAATCCTTTTCACTGTGGTTTATAAAGAAAAAATGCACATTTCCCTTTGATTGCTAGAGGACTTGGCCACCAGAAATGCAGCTGTCACCTTACCTATGTAAGGTAATGGCTCTTGTGGTTGAGCCACCTGTAATGCTGGACAGTTCAATGAACAATTCCTTGAATGATCCTGCCTTGAACTTTGTTTGTCTTGAACCTTGAACTCTTTGCTCCTCCCAAGACCTTCCTGATTTAAGCCATGTCTCTTCACTTCCTGTTTGCCAGATTATTGCACTCTCTCTCCAGCCAATATCTTGCTCTTGTCTTCCCTGATGCCATCATTATTTTTGCTACCACTCATTATTGGCCCTTGGCTTGTTCCTCCACTATGCTTCTGCATGATCCCAACCTCCAACTATTCATTACTGACCTTTAGCTTGTTTACTGACTACGCTTCCGTTTTATCCTTGCCTGCTATATCCGCTGCTGTACCCCGGCTTGCTCACCTTCTATCAGGGCAACTATGAGGACCGCAACCTGGTACTAACATGCAGCTAAACCCATCTCCACCATCAGGAGCTTTGGTGAACACCATTTAAGACTTAGACTCTGCACCTCAGTTGAGCCCACATCATGTGCCAGGGTGTCCTGCATGTGTTGGTGGAAGTCCAGCTACTGCTATAGCAACTGGTCTTCAAGCCTGACCACTGTTCGTGACAGTAGTAGGAAAGCACACGTATCTCAAATCCAGAAGAATATTCCAATCATACATGTTCCTGTAATGCCGTGAACCAAGTAAGTGCTGTAGCATTTACCAGCTGGGAACTGGTGTTAATACATGCCAGAGCATATCTTACCAACCACCATGGATCTACAGAATAACATCCAAAAATATATTAAAATGATAATATCTCAAATTGTGACATTTAACTGTTACACAGGACCCCTTCATCTGGTCATATATGCCTGATATACTTGTGAAGAGAACGAAAGTGTACTCTGAAGAAGGGGGCACGTCCCCTGAAATGTGGCAACCTACTAATTTTGGCATACATGGTCTGTTGACATTGCCCATGGCTGGAGTAGTCATTTGATATGCTTGTTCCATTTTATATTTGTGAGTATGGTTTTTGACTTCTTCCTCTAATAAAAAGTGGTGGTGGTAATGCGTTAGGCGTATGCGCCCTCCTGTGTTTTTATAGTTACTTTTGAGAATTCCTTCTCTGAGGAGGAATCCATCGCGCAAAGCATTTCCAGTTGTGACACCTTTGATGTACTACTGTCTGAGCGCTGGGATATTTGTGTGCTTGTGAGGACGTAACCCTAGTCCCAAACTACAAACAAACCCTGTGGTATAACACTTTCAAAAATGTTGACATTCTTGTGACTGCTTCTGGAGTAGTTGGTATCAGTCAGCACTTGGCAATATCAATCTTCATTTAAAGGTTAGATGTGGGGATCTATGGCATGGCAAAATGTATTTAAAATACACATTCTGCCAACTTGACAAGGTGTAATTTTTTCTTTCAGCAGGACAGAGGAACTCTACTGCAAATCTAACCTTTAAGTTTTAATGCGTTCTACTTGTATGGGTGACCTTGTCATTTCACGTTCTATTCCAAAAGATTCACAGAGACAAAGCTATTTTATTTAGCCTTCTCACATCTCTGATTTAGTGATCCAAACACATCAGTTTGTGGCTGCTCTCTGACAGATTCGGAAAACTGATTGAAATGTTATTGTTATTTCTCTTGCAAGTTTGGTGTTCGAACAAAGGCAGTTGTAACTCAAGATAGCAGATTCAGTGATTCCTTCTTGGGTGATTTTTACTGATATTCTTATGTCTTCTAATGTTTTAAACATATTCCAGTAAAAATGATACTTGCTTGTTTGTTGAATATTTGTATGTTTGGGCAGCATGTTTTTGGCTCAGTTGGTGTTTTTCATGCTATGTAGCCATGTAAAGTGAACCATTTCCAAGCCTAGCATTTTGAAGCTGGTCATTTGATGAAAATATGCTTAAGCAGTGAATATGATGAAACATACAATCAATAGATCCAGAGGTAAGCTCTGTTTTTTATCCTTTTTTTCATCTCATACTATATTAGTTTGAATTGCCCAGGTTTGTTTCTGTCAGGGATCTCCTCGATCCTCGCCGCGATGGTCCCGGCGCAGGCGCAGTGCGCCGCCCTGTGCAGGGACTCGGGCACTAGGTCCGGGCCGGCCGCGGCGTTCGAGTTCGCGCATGCGCAGTAGAAGCCGCGGCCGCCCGCTGGGCACCAATGGCAGCGCAGGGCGGGATATTTAAATGGCCCTGAGCTGTCATTCAGTGCCTTCTGCTCTTACCTGTATCCTGCGAACCTGTGAATTGTAAGTTGCTGACCCGGATTGTGCTCTGACCTTGCTGTATTCTCCTGCCCTGACCCTTGCTTTGCCTGACCTCTCTCTTGAATGCCCCCTATTGGATCTGACCTGCTGTTGCTGACCTGGCGTGTGACCCGACTATTCTCTGCCCGCTGCCTTGTACCATATCGTACTCCCTGTTGCCGATCCGGCTTGTCTGACCTCGCACCTGCTCAGCCATCCATCCATCCATCTGTCCATCCCTCCCAGTGGGGTCTTCTGACCTCCTCATATCAGGCTCTTCCCCACGGGAGCCCTCAGCGTATACCACTACCACTGACGGGTTTACCCCAGTAGCCACGACCTGGTCTCGGGGAGCTCCAAGTCCATCCCCACCATCAGGGGCCCTGGTGAACAAGCACCCTGGGACTTAGACTCCGTGCTCTGGGAACGCCTATTTAGTGGAGTGCTAGTGGTACCGCCGGGTGGTCCCTTACAGTTTCATTGTAGGGACACAAAGTGTATCCCAGCACTGCAGTGATAGGTAGTCCCGGTGAAGAGTGAGTGTTGTCTTAATCAACATAGTTTGTGACACACCTTTTTTTTGCATATATGCTAAAATAGGTGGTTGAAAGGCATAATTGTAAATTATGTTTTGAACAAGATGACTGCTACTTTGTTAGCTTGACATGGACTTACAGTACCTAAATAAAATACTAATACTAAATAAAATGCCCTGCCATCATCCCAAATAATCCTTATCATTCAGCTTCCTTTAACAAATGACCATAAAACATTTCACAGTTTTATCTACTAGGCAATGGAAAAACCACCATGAGAAGCAAAGCAAGCCACCAAACAAATATTTCACTTATAGAGAAAAACTAACTTTAGGTCTACTGGTCTACCTCAATTCTGCTACTAAAAAATGTGTTGAAAAATAATACAAAAGCAGTATATCGTCTGTCTGACGATCTGTATTCTCATGTAACCCAACAAACATTCTATGTAAAGTATATGTATTTATTATACATGCATACACGGTTAGCTGCATACAGGGATAGCAACACAATACAAAGTATTGGATTCAAAATAGAGCTCTGGCTGGCTGGGAAATCCAATACAATTTATATGTCCTAAATGTGGGAACCCCAGGCCAGCCA